AACACCCACTTGTAGAAGCCGAGGCGGTGCTCTGAGCCCCCAGGCCGCCCCGCGGTGTCGGAGCAGCGCGAGGCCCCGAACCACTTCCACATGGCCGTCGCCTCCTCGCGGCGCAGGCTGATGATGTCACAGCGCGGGGCATCGCACGACTTTTTCCGCATGGCCGCCGTCTCCAAGTGGTGCAGAGTGATGACACAGAATCACAGAATGGCCAGGGTTGGAAGGGACGTCAAGGATCATGAATCTCCAACCCCCTGCCACATGCAGGGCCACCAACCTCCCCATTTAATGCTAGACCAGGCTGCCCAAGGCCCCATGCAATCTGGCCTTGAACACCTCCAGGGATGGACGGGGCATCCACAACCTCTCTGGGCAGCTGTTCCAGCACCTCACCACTCTCTCTGTAAAGAATTTCCCCCTGATGTCCAACCTAAATCTCCCCTCCCTCAACTTAAAACCATTTCCCCTCATCCTGCTGTTATCACCCTCTCAAAGAGTTGATTCCCCTCCTGTTTGTAGGCTCCCTTTAGGTGCTGAAAGGCTGCAATGAGGTCACCCCGCAGCCTTCTTTTCTCCAGGCTGAACAAGCCCAGCTCCTTCAGCCTGTCTTCATAAGAGAGGTGCTCCAGTCCCCTGATCATCTTCATGGCCCTCCTCTGGACCCTCTCCAACAGCTCCCTGTCTTTTTTGTACTGGGGGCTCCACACTTGGACACAGTACTCAAGATGGGGCCTCACAAGAGCAGAGTAGAGGGGAACAATCACCTCCCTGTCCCTGCTGCCACCCGTCTTTTGACGAAGCCCAGGATACCATTTGCCTTCCGAGCCACAAGGGCACACTGCTGGCTCATGTTAAGTTTTTCATCTATCAAGACCCCCAGGTCCTTCTCCACAGGGCTGCTCTCAAGGACCTCTCCTTCCAGTCTGCATGGATGCCTGGGATTCCTCCGGCCCAAGTGCAAAACTCTGCACTTTGCCATGTTGAACCTCATCAGGTTCACGTGGGCCCACCTTTCTAGCCTCTCGAGGTCCCTCTGAATGGCATCCCTTCCAATGTCACAGCTTGCTAGGGCGCTCGCCCAACTCAGCCCTGCAGCTCCGCCCTCCCCCAGCCCCAACGCGCCACTCCAGTGATCAACCTCAACACGGGCAGAAAGCCATCAACATTTTATTTTAATTATTCCCTTCTAAAAATCTCTGCTGTCTTTTATCAAGTTCCGTGAATTTCCACTCAGTACACGCAGGTGTGTTCTGCATTTCTCCAATTGCTCCGCACCTCCAATTTGACACGGCCAAAGGCTTTGCAGGGCTCCTCCTGCCAACACAAAGAGGAGAGGCTTCATGATGCACGTGGGAAGAGCCACGGCACATCTGCACAGCTCCCTTTGCCAGCTGCCGAACCCTGGCTTGCTCTCCTCTGTTCCTTGGGCTGCCGTGGGATGCCAGGATGGCGCTGCTGATGGGGGAAGGCAGCTGCACTCCTCCCTCCCACCAGCAATCGTCCCTCCACACCCGCAGGGGTCGGACAGTTTCCCTCCCGCACTGCCTTCCCGCTGCTGCTCTCTCTGCTCTAGCAGGAAGAATTGCTACCAAAGGTGGGATGGCTACCTTGTCTGTCTGCCCCGCAGGAGTCGGCCACGTTGGAGAGCAGAGGAAGGCCCGGCTGATCAGGCAAACCCTTCCGTCCCAGGACTAGCAGGCAGCCCGGCCTTCCTCCCTGGCAGCCTGCCGCATGCACTTGCCGTACCTGCATGTGGAAGGTCTGGGCGATCTCTCTGTACACGTCATAAACAAATAACCCCAGGAGAGTTTCACCTTCGGCCTCATCCACTCCCTCAAAGACAAGAGATGACAGCGGTCACACTTAGGCAGGCTGTGCAAAAAAAGAACATGCCGAGGCTGAAGGCAGGAGCCCTTCCTCCCCCCCCTCAGCTCTGGTGGGATTGGAGCACAAAGGAGGGTGAACCTTAGTCAGGGCACGTGCAGCAATTGCTCCCAGCTGCTTGGCCATGAAGAGCAGCAGAGACCTCCAGAGACGTGTAACCATCCCAAGGGTCTCTGTGCTCTTGGGCAGGATGCCATGCTCTGCAGCAGCCCATCACAGCTCTCAGGGAGCTCCCACCACTATGGGGTCTCATGGGGCTCTATGGCAAAGCTTTTCCTTGGAGTGCTCCAGAAGAAGCAGCAGGCAGAGACTTACCAAGACAGCAAAGTCTTTGGGGGCACTGCTGACTTCCCCTGAGGGAGAGACCGCCTTGGAGATGTGCCAGATGGTGAACGCCATGGGACGGATTTTCTCCGGCAACTGGATGACCACGTGGCCCTGAGATCCTTGGAAAGCCCAGCAGTTGCCAGGAGAAATATTGGGCTGAAATGAGAAAGACGTGTCTGTCAGCGGCGAGGCAAAGAGCTGCCAGAGGTGGCTGTTGGGCAAGAAGCACAGAGCTTGCCTTCTCTGTGGGCTGCTGTTCTCCTCATAATGGAGCGAGGAGTCAGGGGATGAGGAGTCAGTAATGAAACACTAGTCAAGGGACAGGAGGGAAATATGCAAAGGTATGGACAACAGGTCTGGAGCCAGTTGCCTTTCTCTGCTTGCCCAGAGCTGGCAGGGCAGCCCTCCCCAGCATCTGTCACCCCATCACCCTCCCAACATTGCTGTCAACAATGGGAAGAATGTGGGCTAAGCAGTGCAGCTGGGCCAAAGGAAATTGTTGTGCACTTGCTCCTGCAGCTAGAAGGCAAGGCAGTGAACCCACAGTCACCATTTCTCCTGGCATACCTGCAAGAGTGTCTTGGGAGGCTTTGTGGTGGAAAAGAGTGGAGAAAGCCAATGGTTCTTCCAGCCTTTCCCACCAAAGCTCTTGGATGTCCTCTCTGCATCAACAGTGGCACCTGAAATAAAGATGGAAAGATGTGCACTAGGACAGCCCAAAGACAAGCTGAAGGAGTGAATTCTCATTCCCTGAAGCTCTTGGTGGGGCTCAGGGGTGCAAAATCCCTCCTGCTGTGTATGGGCACTATTGAGTCCCAGCCTAAGCCACTGATTGAGCACCTGAGGAAAGGAGCCAGTCAGCCCTAGGAACACAGGTGAGGCTGAGCCTCAGAGCCAAGTGTGGATTGGGCAGACAGAGCACAGAACTGTCTCTGGAATGGGCTGAGAGGAAACAGGAGGGAGCAGAACCATTACCTCTCTCTTCAATCCGTGGACCCCATTCTCTTTGAGGACATCAAACACTGATTGGAGAATGAAGTCCTTCCTGGCTGACACCTGAGTAGTTTTCACGTTCAGCTCCTGCCTCTTCCCCTCCAGCCAAACCAGTGAGTTCCTGAAGGCAAAGGCAAAGTGAGTCTCCAGCACTGTCCACCTCGCAGGTCAGAGCTCCAGTGCCATGAGGTGAAGGATTCTGAGGGGTTGTGCCCTTCCTTATCCCCCAGCCCCTTTTATTCCTTCACTTTGCCAAGGGCTGCCTTCCACCATACAGATGGGAAAGGCTGGAGCCATGGGCACGAGGCAAAGGTGTGCAAAGAGCCAGGTGCAGGGCAAGGAAGTGTTCTTACCCCAGAGACGGGAGCTCATGCACAGGTCCTGCTGATGCCATCTGGAAGAGAAAGGCATTCAATGGGATGCACAAGGAGCATGGCCAGAGCTTCCAAAGGAGCTTCCCAGGGAACCGCTGGCAGAATTTCCTGCTGCTTCCCAACAGTTTGCAGAGGACTCTGCCCGAAGTCAGGCTCTTAAGCCCTCCCTGTGCTGCAGAGCATCTGCTGCTTCCCTGTTTGCTTTCCCATCCCCTCCAGACTCCCCAGTGCCACAGATGGGCAAAGGTCCCTTCTTCCCACACGCTGCTGCCTTCAGCCCGAGCTCCATGCTGGGCACTGGGAAGATGCTTCCACACCGAAGCCCATCCTGCTGCCAAGGTGCCCCCCAGCCTGGCTCGAGGGCCCTCCCTCCGTCTCAGCAGTGAGGAGCCGGTGACCAACCTCCCCGTCTCCACAGAGGCAGAAGGGCAGAGCTTGGCCTTTGCTGCACACCATGGCACTGACCCGCGGGATGTCATTTCACCAAGCCAAAATCCAGAGGAAGGCTCCAGCTGTGGGGGACATCAGTAGGGAGAGACCATTAGTTTGCTCAGACTGCTCTGAGCCCCACAGCCCCATTTTCCTCCTCCAGACCTAGCGGGGACATGCCATGTGGGACAGTCCTGCTCTCCGGCTCTGCTGGGATGGCTTTGGCTGGGGAACAGTCACCAGAAAGGACTGCTAGAAGCAGGATGGGAGTCCTCCTTCCCCTCTCTTTGGCAGCGTGTTGGCTAAGGGAGAGATCAGACAGTGCTTATCACGGCCCAGCACTGGGACACAATCTTCTGGGATCCTTTTAGCAGACGGCTGCCACCATGTTCCTCTGCCCAGCAGAGATGTAAGTCCCAGGGCCCTTTAGCAAGATCCAGCCAGTGCCATAGCACCCGTGGTACACATAAGAGCGAAGGGCTCTGCTGTGCCACAGGAGCAGCAGCCCAGCCCCATCTGGCTCCCCCCAGAGACGGAGCAGGGCTGTGCCCATGGAAGGGGATTTAGGGCCACCCAGCTGGAGAAAGCCTGGCAGCACACAGTGCTTCTGTCTTCCCCTCCCCGCATTCTGGGTCCAGCTGCACTCACCTGCCCAGTTGGGCCGGCATTTTGGCACCTTCACTCCTCTCACAGACACAGGGAACAGCTCGCTCTCCTCTCAGGACACAAGCACCTCTTCCCCACTTGCCTGCTCTGCAATCCTCACAGGACTGCACTGCTGCACACCTCTCCGGCTAAGTAGGACAGCAGGTTCTAATGTCATAACAGCTCACAGTTGTGAATGCCAAATGATGCCTTTTCTGACTTCACAGGGCATGCCCAGGGGGGACAGACCCCGTGGGTTTGAGCCCAGCTGAAATTCCCCAAAACACCTCCAAGCACAGAGAGGAGCTTCTCTGGATGCCCCGGCGAGGATGTCTGTGCTATTGCACAGCTGCTCCCTCCTGGGTGTGGAGAGGCTGAGTACATCTGGCAGGGGCTGTGACAGTCACAGACTCATAGAATGGCCTGGGTTGAAAAGGACACAATCGAGTTCCAACCCCCTGCTATGTACAGGGTCGCCAACCACAGACCAGGCTGCCCAGAGCCACATCCAGCCTGGCCTTGAATGCCTGCAGGGATGGGGCATCCACAACCTCCTTGGGCAACCTGTTCCAGTGCATCACCACCCTCTGTGTGAAAAACTTCCTCCTAATATCCAACCTAGACCTTCCCTGTCTCACTTTAAAACCATTCCCCCTTATCCTATCACTATCCACCCTCACAAACAGCCGTTCCCCCTCCCGTTTATACGCTCCCTTCAAGTACTGGAAGGCCACAATGAGGTCTCCCTGGAGCCTTCTCTTCTCCAAGCTAAACAAGCCCTCAAGTTCCCTCAGCATTTCCTCATAGGAGAGGTGCTCCAGCTCTCTGACCATCTTAGTGCCCTCCTCTGGACCCGCTCCAAGAGCTCCACGTCCTTCCTGTGCTGGGGGCCCCAGCCCTGGACGCAGTGCTGCAGATGGGGCCTCACCAGAGCCAAGTAGAGGGGGACAATTGCCTCCCTCTCCCTGCTGGCCACCCCTTTTTTAATGCAGCCCAGGACACAGTTGGCCTTCCGCACTGCAAGCGCACACTGCTGGCTCATGTCCAGCTTCTCATCCACCAGGACCCCCAGGTCCTTCTCTACAGGGCTGCTCTCAAGGAGATCTTCCCCCAGTTTGTATAAATACCTGGATTGCCCCGGCCCAAGTGCAGCACCCTGCACTTGGCCTTACTGAACCTCGTTAGGTTTTAATGGGCCCACTTCTCCAGCCTGTCCAGGACCCTGTGGATGGCTTCCCTTCCCCCTACCACCTCAACCACACAGCTCGGCTTGGTGTCATCCGCAAATTTGCTGAGGATGCACTCAATGCCATTGTCTGTCATTGATGAAGATGTTGAAGAGCAGAGGTCCAAAGACCGACCCCAGAGGGATACCGCTTGTGACCGGCCTGCACCCTGACACAGAACCATTGATCACAGCCCTTTGGCTGCGTCCAGCCAGCCAATTCCTAATCCATCCAACAGTCCATCCTTCAAATCCACACCTCTCCAACAGAGAGCAAGATGTGGTGATCATGTCAAAGGCTTTGCAGAAGTCCAGGTAGATGACATCCATCACCCCTCCCCCATCCACCAAAGCCGTCACTCCATCATCAAAGGCCACCAGATTGGTCAGACATGATCTGCCCTTGGTGCAGCCATGCTGGCTGTCGGATCACCTCTTTGTCTTCTATGTGCCTTAACACAGCTTCTAGGAGGATCTGCTCCATGATCTTCCCAGGCAAAGAGGTGAGGCTCACTGGCCTGTGGTTCCCTGGGTCTTCCTTTCTCCCTTTCTTAAAAATGGGAGTAATGTTTCCCTTTTTCCAGTCAACAGGGACTTCACCAGACTGCCGTGATTTTGCAAACACGATGGAGAGTGGCTCGGCAACCACATCAGCCATCTCTTTCAGAACCTTGGGATGGATCTGGTCCCGTGGACCTACATACTTTCAGTACTTCATGAGAAGGTCTCTGACTTGTTCCACTGTTACAGTGGGACAGAATCCACTCCTCTCACTCACACTGTGGGCTTCAGGGTCTGGCAGGCATGGGGAGCAGCCTGACCAGCAGCGAAGACTGAGGCAAAGCACTTATTGAGCACCTCAGCTTTTTCCATTTCTCAGGAAGCCAGTTCTCCATTCTCATTTATCAGAGGGAGAACACTCTCTTGGCCTGTCTCCTGCCTGTGTGCCTGTAGAACCCCCTGTTATTTTTCACATCCCTCACCAAGTTCAGCTCCACCCATTAGGCTTTCCTAATCCTATCCCTGCACACACACACAGCAGCCCTGGCAGGAATGCTGTGCTGTGGCAATTTGCAGAGCTTAACATGCAGTTCCATCAGCGCATTGTGCTTCTACACTCAGATGTTACTGGCTGCCAAGCAGAGCGGCCGATTAGGCCATAGTGAGCCACTTTTTCCTAAGAGTGTGGGACCTGAGGAAAATGTCCTCGCATGTTTTGAGGCAAAAGATATAAGTATTCTATTGGGACTCCGGTGCTTCTCGTGAGGCACAGTCATGGAGGCAGAAGGGAGAAGTATTCATTTGCGTCCCCATGCAAAGTTATTGAGGAGAAACGAGGCTGTTCTCCCACTAAAGCTGAAACGCTGCAGTGGTTTCAGAACTACCACTCATGGATTCCTTTTGCTAAACTCATACGTTGGTTCTTAAACTGATGTGCTAATCCCTGCTGCCAAACAGAGCACCCCACATCAATCTCTCCTTTTCCTTTGAGGATTATGATGTTCATATTGTTGGAAATATCCAAAGAATTTATCAGGACAGGATCTCTGATAAAGGAGATTTTATTCACAATTGCAATGGTGGGCATCCCACAAGCAGAAGCGTGCACAGAAAGCAGCCTTACATCTTTTATGCCCTATTACTTATCTCTTTCTCCCATGGTTCTTCACTGTCTGAGTACTTCAGGATCACAATCTTCCTGATGCTCAACTAAACATACAAATACTGGATAAACATCAATTTTTGCTAGTTAAGCATATATCGCTAATTATTTAACTTCTAACACTTGCTCACTCAACACTCGGTAACTGTTTCTGGACATCTGCTCATCCCTGCATAGAGGTAAGCTTGGAGGGAGCGTAGAGGGCAATATCTTGATGCCTGCCTGTTGCATCCCATCCCCGGAGCTCTGCCCTCCCCCAATTGCTCCCCCACCTCCCCAGGAGATCCCTGAGAGCTCTCCATTCTCTCCCCCACACTCCTCTTCACCCCCCCACTGTCCCTCGAGCCCCACTCAGGCTTCAGGCTGTGTCCCCCTCCCCCCCCCCCCCCCCCCCCCCCCCCCCACCCCCGCGCCCCCCCCCCCCCCCCCCCCCCCCCCCCCCCCCCGCACCCCCCCCCCCCCCCCCCCCCCCCCCCCCCCCCCAAGATATTTCACTGCCTTCCCTCCACCCCCACCATGGGTGGCCTACAATCCCCCGAGTCCCTCAGTCTGACTCCCGGGGTTACACTCTCCCTCCTCTCTCCCACCTCCAATTCCCCCATTCTCATTGATGGGAGTCCTCTTCCACCCCTCTTCTCCCCTCCCCTCAGTTCCTCCATCAGTGTCTGCCCCTGTTCCCCATTCTGACCCACAGGATCCCCTGTCCGACCCCCTCTCCCCTGTTCTTTCCTCGGTCCCCCACTCTGATCTCTTGTGCACCCTTTCTCACCCCCCTATATGTCTTCTCCCCCCAGGTACCCCCACTCCAATTCCCCCATTCTGATCCATAGAGTCTCCTACCATCCCCCAGTCCCCTCAGTTTGCCCTCCAGAGTCCCCTGTCTTCCCTTACTGCCCCACCCCCTCCTGACCCCTTTTCCTAACCCCTAGAGTCTGCTGTACCTCCCATGCCCTACTTCCTGACCTCTGGAGTCCATTCCCCCATTTTGACCCCCAACTCAGCACTGGCACAGGGACCCAGAGAGGCTGCGGTGTCTCCTGGAGATCTCCAAACCCATCTGGATGTGGTCCTGGGCACCAATTCTGGTGGCCTGTTGGAGCAGGGCTGGAACAGATGGACCCAGAGGTCCCTTCCCATATCAACCATCCTGTGCTTCCACAACACACCACAATGTGCTGCGTTTGGCTCAAAATGGTCATCCACAGACAGGTTTCTCCTGCCTCCTGCTCAGTGCCATCTGTGTGGGATCATACTGCCTTCTACGATACATCTCTGTTCCAACAAAGATCAACAGCAAAACAGTGCTGACCTACATGGAACCTAGGCTTTGGAAAACAGGCACTCATAAAAAGACAGACAGTGCTCTTCCTGCTCTACCTACACTCCTTGCATTTAGCTGATCAGAGCAAATGCCTGGCACAGCATGGTACAGCAAACAAGCACACTCACTATCGTTTGAATTTTTGGTCAATCTCTTATTGTTCAGGTTCACCAGCAGCTGGCAACTGCAATAAAAACCAGAGAGCACTAGTTCTCTAGCAAACAGTTCTTAGAACATACCATCCCCGCCATTTCATGGTGCTGGTTAAGTGATTGTGACTGTAAAGCATGATGATAAGCACTTGATTTCCCAGTCTGAGACCAATGCCTGAACAGCACTACAGAATGCCCACAAACACACTGACCGTCTGCTCTGCTCTGAGCCAACAAGGGCTGCCTTGCAGCACAACAGCAGCTCTGCATGAAAGAGGGACGCAGTGCCCAAGCAGCTAAAGGCATCAGTGGGTGAGAAATGCCTATTCTATCCCTAGCCTGGCTGAGGTTAAAAGGGGAAGCAGACCACCGCTGTCAGTGAGCCCAGCCCTTGTGCAAGAGCAGCAGTGCCTGTGCTCGCCCTGCACATGACTCTTACACGTCTGGAACATCACGGCACTGCGCTGCCTAGGCCACACAGAGGCTCGTTCTCTCCTTCATGGAACTGTGCATCTCAGTGGACGATCTACGACCCAGGCATCAGAAAAATAGTTTCCGTTCTTCTCGAATCCTTGCCAGAAATGCAGGGCCAACCACTTTGTTCGTATTTGCTTTGGGCACCAAGTAGCGGCTTTGCATCTGACAGATGTTTTTCTGATGCAGTTTCACCGTTCGGTTGCTGTGTACGCGGAAGCAGGGCTACTAAACAAGCAGATCACTGCACAAAAAAAGGCCCCGAGGGCAGAGCGCTCCATGGCGACACGCGCACGGTGCCAGGCCGTGCTGGGAGCGGGACGCGGCGCCAGAAGGGCACCCGCAATGGACGGTTACGTGACGTCATCAGAGCGCGCCGGCAGCACAGCGCCCCCACGCGGAAGGAACGAGAGCCGCCTCACGTGCGACGGGGAGCCACAGCGCCGTCTGTCTGTGCTGCGGCCGGACTGACTGCGGCCGCCTCGCGGCGCCTTCGTGCTGCCTCCGGTCACCGCCCTTCAGTCAGCGCCATCCCCTCCATCTCTGCTACAGCAGGAGACACGCACACCTCCACACAGCTACAAACACGTGGAGGCGTTTCCTGGTACCACCCGAGGAATCCACGGCCGCACATTGTCCTCACCACCCCCATCTTCCCAGTCCCCAGTCCTGCCCTGTGCTGCTGCTCTGCAATGAACAGCAATCCAACACACAGCGTCCCCAGAGAATCACAGAATCACTCAGGTTGGAAAAGACCTTAAAGATCACCGAGTCCAACCATGACCTGACCACCCTACCCTAACTAACAACCCTCCTCTAAATCATGGCCCTGAGCGTCACATTCAAATGGTTTTTAAACACATTCAGGGGTGGTGACTCAACCACCTCCCTGGGCAGTCTATTCCAGTGCTTAGCAACCCTTTCTGTATAAAAGTTTCTCCTGATATCCAACCTGAACTTATCCCACATCTTAACCCCACAGATGTGACAATGGGGCCTGGCTTCTGGGTGCTTCTCAAAGGAAACCAGTGCACGGTGTCAGGAGAGGAGGAGGAAGCAGCTGATCCTGCCAATAATGCTGCCATTGCGTGTCCCTCCCCAGGACTCCCACACCTTCCTCTCCCCAGCTGCACTCACCTTCTCGCAGGCTGCAGAGGCTCTCGCACTCCGTGGCCATCATCTTCTCGTGCTGCCGGACCGCCATCTGCAGAGCTGCGCTGAGTTCCTGCTGCTGCAGCCAGAACCGCAGCTCCTGTGCTGACAGATGGAGGAGTTTTGTGCCGACACCCACAGCACGCGGTCCCCGGGCTCCCAATGGGGCTTCCTCCCTCCATCCCTCCCTCCCTCCCACTGCCCTTCAGCTCTTGCTCCTATAATCCTCCTATAATCTGCCTAAGGATATGAAGAGTATGCAGAGGGGTCCGGACAGGCTGATCAATGGCTGACGCCAACGGCACGAGGTTCACCACCACCCGCACTTCGGTCACAACAACCCCAGGCACGGCGGCAGGCTGGGGACAGAGCGGCTGGAACGCCGCGCGGAGGAAAAGGATCTGGAGGTGTGGATCGACGCTCAGCTGAACGTGAGACAACTGTGCGCCCAGGCGGCCAAGAAGCCCGCTTGTACCGGCAGCAGCGCAGCCAGCAGCAGCAGGTGATCGCCCCGCGCTCAGCCCCGCCCCGCCTTGGGCCGGCACCGTTTGCATCGGGCGGGAGTGCGGCCGTCGGCGCCCATCGACGACCCCGAGAAGGCGATCTGCGTGGGGCTGAACTACCTGAACTACCGCCACCGCCGCCTGCAGCAGGACGTCAAGGTGCCCTCGGAGTTTCCCGGCGCCATGGCCGGGCCCTGCCGCTCGCCCCGGACGCCCCGCTCCCCCACCTTTGGGCAGCCGCCAGCCCGTGCTCGCCGCTCTCCAGGAAGGCCCTCACGGAGCGGAGCGGGGCGGGGCGGGGCGGGGCGGGGCGGGCTCGGCCTCGCTGCGGTCCCCCACGTCCCCGCTCTCCTCCTCCCGCAGCCCCAGCCGGGACCCGGCCGCCCGGAGACCCCAGAAGCGGAGCGGGCGAGCGGCAGCGCCGCAGACGGCCGGGCCGGGGCCATGCGGAACGCGCGCGGTGATGACGCAATGACGGCGCGACGGCGGAGGGAAAGGACCCCTCGCGGAGTGCCCGCCCCATCCGGAGGACCGACCAATGGAGCGCGGCGAAGGCGGGACCGAGCGCGGGCCAATGGCGGCTGCGGAGCCGCGGGGCTCCGTGCGGGGAAAGCGGCGCTCCGCCGCCCTGCCGCCGCCCGCCTCGTGCCTCGGGACGCCGGGCGGTCAGGGAAAGGCGGCGCGGGGGCTGTGAGGAGCGGCGGCTGACCGCGAGCGGCGGGACCCGCCCGGTGTCCGGGAGCGGTTCCTGGCTGAGCCGGGCAGCCCCGAAAGAGAGGGAGCGATCGCACGGATCGAGGCACGTCGGAGCCCGGCACGGAGTCGGGCGGGCGCCTTCGGTTCTCGCGCGGCTCAAATCAGCAGCGCTGTGCCGAGTTGCTGCCCCGCAGCTGCGGTCCCCAAGTGCCGGTTTCCATCTGTCTGTCTGTCCCCGCGGAGCTCCTGTCTGTCTGTCCCCGCGCGGAGCTCCCGGAGCTGCGTGAAGCCGCTTCGTGTTGGCCCCGAGGAGGGAAGCCGTGAGGAGGGAATGATTGTTAGGGTGGAACCTGGTTGGGAATACGGTCATTTCTGTGTTTATTGCTCTGTATGTTAAATGATTAAATGTTTAGCACTCGTTTTTCAGCATTTCGACTGCAGTCATTTCTGCAGCTCCAAAGAGCCCTCCGTCCCTGTGCCCACCGCCGGGTAAGGACAGGGCAGCACAAGTGGCCGTGTCATATGACTGCAACCACCAGCCCCTTTCCTCTTCTCACATCGCCTCCCCTCCTCAGCACTGCGTGGGAAATGGTTGGGGTGGGATTCTGGGAGAGCTGGGGCGGCTCAGCCTGCAGAAGAGGAGGCTCGAGGGATCCCAGGCACGGCCATCAGTCCCTGCAGGGAGGAGCAGAGAGGACGGAGCCAGGCTGTGCCCAATGTTGCCCAGCAGCAGGACCGGAGGCTCACACTGCAGCACAGCAGGTTTCCCTGTATGTCACCACTGAATCCCCAGCTCGGGTCAGCGCTGTTGGATATTTTTCCCAATGATCACAATGCAGGAGATGAATGCATCCTTGTGAAATCCAGCGGGCACCCTAAGGCACCAGGTGCTGCTGGCACTCCTGAGGTTTTTAAGGGGCAGCAGGGGAAATTGGAGGGCTTAGGGCAGTAGCTGTGGTCTCTTGAAGGGACTTTGAGGTGCTGTGGGTTCAGAATTGTATTTTTCCCTCGTTTTTCATACCGAAGGTGGCAATTCGGCCCAGTACCTCGAGGTGGCAGCAAGATCCCCAACAATGGAAACGTCGGCTCCCCAGAGCCCTGTGTATCGCTGTGAGAATGATGGAGCGTGTAAGAAACATAGAACATGCATAGGGCTTATGATTACCGTGACACAGGGATGACATATTCATATATACTTTCTATATCCTTCCTATATCCTTTCAGCAGTTGGGTTAAAGCCTCCTGAGATATGAATGATAAATCCCGCTTGACAAACCTGATGTCATTCTATGACAAGGTGATGAAGGTGGGGCTGTCGATGCGGTCTGCCTGAACTTCAGGAAAGCCTTTGACTCTGTCCCCCACAACATCCTTGTGGGAAGCTGGCTGCCCATGGTTTGGATGGGCGTATGCTCTGCTGGGTGAAACACTGGCTGGATGCCCAGGCCCAAAGAGTTGTGGTCAAAGGAGTTAAACCCAACTGGCGGCCAGTCGTGAGCTGTGTCCCCCAGGGCTCAGTACTGGAGCCGCTCCTATTTAACAACTTTATCAATAAACTTGATGAGGGGATTGAGTTCATCCTCAGTAAATTGCAGATGACACCAAGTTGGGAGGGAGTGTTGACCTGCCAGAGGGGAGAAGGGCACTGCAGAGGGACCTGGACAGATTGGTCAATGGGCTGAGGCAAACCGTAGGAGTGGGCTGAGTGTCAGGTCCTGGGGACTGGTCTCTTCTCACTGGTGACAGGACGAGGGGAAATGGCCTCAAGTTGTGCCAGGAGAGTTTAGGTTGGATACCAAGAAAAATATCTATACAGAGAGGGTGGGTAAGCACTGCAACTTAGAGGCAAGGAAGTGGTGCAGGACCATATCAAGGGCCTTGCACAAGTCCAGGAAGATGACATCAATTGCCCTCCTGTTATTCGTCAGTGCCAACACTGCGTCACAGAAGGCACCAGGTGGATCAGGCACGATCTGCCCTTGGTACAGCCGTGCTGGCTGTCCCAGATCACTTCATCTCTCAGCCGTCTTAACACATCTTCTGGGAAGATCTGCTCCATGATCTCAAATACCTACAAGGTTGCTGTGACTTGTGCACTGGGCGGGTGTAGTGTGGAAACTTCTTACTCTGAAAAGAAGCCAATGTGAATGTGTTCTGGGAGAATTAAGCAGAATGTGACACAGCCAGCAAAGTTAAGAAATAGCTCTTTTATTCATTATTGCATGAGCAATCTGGAAAGCCAAAGCTGGTCGCAGCAGTGGCTGTCCAGGTGTGGGACGTGGTCCCCACATCCTACCCTAGGGGACAGCTGCCATCCACTGGAGGATGGGAGCAGGGAAGGTTGCAGTGCCCAGCGGGGCTTGGGGTGACTCAATCTCTTCTGCATGGCCAGGGGGATGTAGGCCAGGCTGGGGGGGCCACAAGGGCTGCACGGGGGACAGCGGAGCCAGGATGCTGTCTGATCCGGGGAGGGGTGATCTGTTGGGGCTCTGTGGCACCTAGGCTGGACATCTTGACACATGTGGAGGCCGCTGGGGCTAAGCCCATCTGTTCTCTGTATTGTCCATCATGACTATCTGCAGAATGTGAGAAAACCTCTGCAAACATCTGTCTTGCCAACTTCCCTCTCTGTATCACAGGACCTGAACAGGATGTACCAGGACACGTTTCAGATGAGCTAGTTACTGAATGGAGCACTCTGTTTTAGGGCTGTGAGCTGGCAGCTCACAAAGGAATTAAAAAGCCATGACATACCCATGCCATCTGCTGTAGCTTCCGTCCTGGGAGCCGGCTGGGATTCTGCATCCCATTCACCTCCACTCACATCTGTAAACAAACAGGACAGAGCAGCTTGTGTCAAACACATCCATATCCATCTCCAGATGGGAACAGTGAGGGATCACTCCACGGCACCCTTTTCTTCCTTCCACACAGCAGCATCTCAACCATAGGTGCTGGGTGCCTGTAGTGGCAGCATGCTGATGCACAACAATCCATGTGTGGAACTGCCTGGAGACAGGGAGGGGAAGAGAACTGAAAGGGGATGGAGAGCAGAAGAAAAGAGAACAGTAGGGGGACCCCCAAAGGCTCTGTCCTGGTAGTGATTTAGCACTGGGTTCCACCTCAGGAACAAAAGCTGTGTCTGACTAGAACACTGGATTGAAAGAACCAGTGTAGTCATCTAGAATTACAAACAAATGAGAGAAGTTCCCATTGAATGCTGTGATCTCTTTTTCCATCAGAGACCAGAGCTGGGCCAGGTAATGGGATGGGAGAAAGATCCAGGTTGTCAGTTCCACAGCTACAGAGTGGGCAGGGAGACCCACTGGCTGGCCATGGGCAGGTTGCAAAATACTCTCCAGGCCATGTGCAGCATCATCATGGACCGCATGGACCAACATTTGGCCACTCAGGCCTTGCTTGCTTACTTACCATTGCAGATCAATGGTGGGCACAAAGGAAGGCGACACTAAAGCACAAGAGGAAACCATGCAGCCAGAACTTTGTTCTCCTGAAGTTCAGGGTCCCGACTCCACTTTTTGCCAGGCCCGCATTCTTCAAGATCACAAACTCCACCAAGGCATGGTCACTACAGCCCAGGCTGCCTCCAATCTTAACCTCTCTGATGCTCTCCTCTGCATTGGTGAGCACCAGATCCAATAGGGCTTCACCTCGGGTTGGTCCATCTATTACCTGGACCAGGAGGTTATCCTTGACAGACTCCAGGAATCTCCTGGATTGTCTGCCACCTGCTGTGCCACTCTCCCAGCAGATATCTGGGTGGTTGAAATCCCCCATCAGGACAAGAGCCTGCAAGCATGACAGCTCCTGCAGCTGAAGCAAGAAGGCCTTGTCAGCTTTTCCCTGCAAGCTGAGCATGTCAGAGGCAGATCATTTCTAGGAGAGCTTGTGCTTTACAGCATCAAGCTGTGTAGAAAAAGGAATTCTAAAAGCAAGCTTGCCAGTTCTTTTTTATCTGAGTGGTTTTGAGCAAGGCAAGATTTGAGATGCTGTTTGCTCATGGAAGACGGAGAGGTGAAAAGCAAGTAAAGAGCATGCTGTGCATGGCCAGCGCATTCATCTGCACTGTTCTACCCCTGCTCAAAGGAGGAGCAGTTCAATGAGCTTGGCCTGGGCCACTGGAAGGAACATGCAAATATTTGGACCAGCCCCTCCATTCCTGCCTCCTCTGCATGCCTCGCCACGCTTTCCTGCTTTTCATGCCAGGGTAGGGCAGAGTGGGTTTCAGCTGAGCTGGGTGGTAGAGACGACACAGCGTTGGGTGGAACTGCCTTCCACAGCACTGGGCTGTATGGGCAACTTTTAGTGGTGCTGGGATGGATGGCCTGCTCTGGCAGGGAGCTGTTGAAGAAAAGCAGTAGGCCATCCAACTCCTTGTGGTTTCCAGTTAGACTGCAATAAAGAAAATATTTCACCATAGCTAAAAGCCAGTTGAGTCAAAGGAAGCTCAGCAACTCAGCTTTTTGGATTGTGGTATCTCATTTAAAATAATGGAGTTTGAAAGCTGAATGGTGTCCAGTCCAACAAGCTTATTCTCTTAGGCCGTGGTGAAGCTGAGTAAACCAACTTAGGAATAGGACATGCCACTGGGTTCTGTCAAGCAGGTATTGCCTTTATTACAGCACTGGGTGCATGGGGATAACTCCACCAACATGCACACCCAGAGAAGCAGTGACTATGGGTTTATAGGCGTAGCATAGACATATTCATTACATTCCAAGGACATGGGCAGAAATTCCAAGAAATAATTAACATCTCTGGTGGCTGTGGGATGAAGGCTAATAGTCATCCTCGCTGTAAATTTCCAACCTTTTAAGGGGGGCTGCCCAAACCGGCTCCCACTGATGTTACATTGAGCTGAGGCATATGTTTTGCCATCTTATTTTCAACAACAGGACATCTATTTTAAACTGATTTCAAAATCCCATCAGAGGGAACAGATGTCCTGGCAGATGTAACAAACCAGGTGTGAGCACTGTATTTCCAATTTCACACTGAAGTCGTTAGAGGAAAGGTAGGACCTCCGGCCTTCCCTCAGCACTAACTACTGATGGCGGATTTGCTCAGAGATCCTTCACAGCTGTTTCAAAGAACTATCCTATCGTTCTTTGATCCTCAAGGACGATTTTGGCTTCCAAACCAAGCCATTCTGTACTTCTTAAGATCTTCAAGGACTCTTCCAACATAAACCATCCTTACGACACAAACCATTCTATAGTTCAGTGACCACTAAGGAACATCCCAACCCATGCCATCCTATGGTTCTATGATCTTCCAGGACCTTATGACACAAACCAATCTATGGTTCTTTGATCATCAAGGAATCTCCCAACGCATGCCATCCCAAACCAAGCCATTCTGTGGTTCTTAATGATCTTCAAGGACTCTTCAAATACAAACCATCCTAGGGCTCTATGATCTTCAAGAGCCCTCCTGTGCTGGTAATGTCACAGAAACAGAAACACAGAAACACAGAATGGCCTGGGTTGAAAAGGACCTCAAAGATCATCTAGTTTCAACTCCCCTGCTCAATTTGATTACTCTCACCAAACCGACTTGGATTTTTTTTTTCCCATGTTCTAACAAAGAAGCCAATAACTACAAACTTGCTTTCATTTGCTATCAGATAAACAGGAATCAACTACATATAACATCTCTATTGTAAGATAATTCAGGACTTCCCTCAAAGAAACAGCTTTTCCCTGAGAAAAAGCCCATAAATTGCTAAGCCTGATACTGCAAATTCAATTCACTATTAACAGGGATTTATTTTTCTATTGACATTAAAGATGTTTAAGCTGGTATATAACCAATGTTAACTACTGTTTTCTCTGGACTCCCAGCAGCAGAAGCCCATGGATGCGATAGAAGGGCAGGGGATGCAGTGAATACTTAATTGTACAGCCACAGTGTCATGCAACACAGAAACTACCAGCCAACTCCTCGCCTGGCTACTGCAAATTGTCACTGAATTCAGTTAACCTGTGACAGTTCCCCACAGGATGAAGCTCCAGCTAGCAAGTAAAAGCATATACACAAGTAATAAAAAGTTTTACCTTGCTGTGGCTTTGTTTACATTTAAAAGCTCTATTTAGGTAATAAATCTGTTAATTCCAGCTGCTGGACAAGCATGGGAACTGGCCAAGCAGCATCGGGCCACACTCATCTGCACTCAGTGAGAGCCCTTTGCAGCAGCAAGAGCTATTCCTGCAGGGTGACCTGTTGCTCCTATCATACACTACCGAAATTTCACTCTTCCCCAGAAAAGTGGGAAATGGTGACCAACATCTGTGTGTTGGTCATTGGTGCCCATGAAAAGTGTTGGATGGAGAAGCCTCAACACCCGTGATTTGGAGATGGGGCCTGGAGAGGGGGCAAGCACAGGGGTGGGAAATAGAGCAGGG